CTGAACCTTGAATATTTCCTCTGAGAGCGTGAACTCCTCGGGTGCTCGGGGTCACTGACACATGGTCGCCTTCGTTCACTTCGACCCGTGCTCTGACTCCAGACACTGTTCAGGCACAACAAAGAACAAATGGGCTCAGTCTCTCACCTCTACGCTGCCGTTGCCCCGTCCCCTTGTGTCACACGGCAAGTTGTCATGACGACAAAGAGCTCTTACTCTGAGCCGGCTGTTGTGCACCCTGCTCAGACTACTGATTGGACTGTGACGCGCACACACACACACCCACTTTCATTCTCAGCTTCATCCTGCAGCTGCTCAGACTTGACATGTGACACAAGCAGCCCCGGCTTTATGTGTGACGGCAGCTGACGTGAAAATACTTGAGGCGTGAGCTTGTCCCAGCACCCCAGTCGCTGTCGTCCCCTCCCCCCCCCTCACCTTCAGTCTGACTCATTAAGCCCTAGGCAGTAATAGCTGTCAGTACCAGCTGTGGGTCTGCTCCCGTCACCAGAGTGATGGAGAAGTCCAGCAAAAATTCATATTTTTGCTTCTGCCTAATCAAAACTAAATGAGAGATTAAAAACCTTATAATGAGTCTGTTACACCGATGCTGTTCTGAAACTGCAGCTATGCCGACCTGAAGAAGAGCTGATTTGCAGTATGAACGAAGCACAGCAATGCAGTACTGTCTACTGTCGCTATGTGAGAAGCTCTGGAGAGACGAACGTGTCCCATCTCACGTGTCCTCGGACCTTAGTTGGCCTCAGATCACATGGTCTGATCGCAGAGATGCCTACGTCAGGTCTGAGCCTGTTGCGTGTGATGACATGTTACCTGTGGGTGGCGCTACAAAAGCATTATTTAAAGATGCCACAGTTTACACATCTATAGGTTTTAACGGACGTCGACACCAAACTCATGGAAAAAAACTAAACCAACATCTTTAGTTCACATTTCAACACAACTTGACTCCAAACTCACTGGGTTCTACTAAAGACAGAAATATTTAAAAATGCCTCATAAATCGAGTTTTATTTTTAAAAACCACAATGATCAATAATCTCCTCGAACAGCTACTCGCTGTAGTTTTTACCAAACTGGAGGAAACGGTGCATTTGCTATGGAACTATTTTCAGCAGTGGATGAATCCACATTTGGTTTCTAGTGAGTGTTAGTGGCAGCAGGACTGTGTGTGTGTGTGTGTGTGTGTGCTGAGTCAGAACAAAGTGTGTGTTCATGGTCATGAAGGAACATGTCACCAGTGCAGAGGTGTGGTCACTGATGGGTTTCATGGTTCCTGGACACAGTGAAGGTCTGTGGCCCAGAGGATCAGTTGTTACTCCGACCAGTTCCCTGTTGCTTTGGTGTTTTGTTTTTTAAATGTGGTTTATTGACTAAAACTAAAATACATCACCAGACGTCAAAAGATTCACTGAGCATCTTACTGTTTTCAGAAATTTGCTTCTTAATTTTCACCTCTTTCCACGTGTTTACACCTTTGAAACATAATGACAAAACCTCCTGAGTTGTAATTATTCTGAAAGTGGAACAAGTGTCACTTCAGTCTTCACTCTCATTTGTCTCAGCACATCTGAACATGTGTCACTAATACTGTAACAGCAGGCTGCAGGATGTTAATGTTATCAGGACTAGTAGCATCATGTAGTGTACAAACTGTTTGTTGTTGTCATTGTCGACAGCAGGCTGCAGGATGTTAATGTTATTAGGACTAGTAGCATTCATGTAGTTTACAAACTGTTTATTGTTGTCATTGTCATGTCTGATTCATTATTCACTTGTTTCACTGTTGCTGCTGTGCTGCATCACTTCCTGCTGTCTACGTCTGTGTAACCCGGCACGTTTACTTTCAGATCATGCACCTCCTGTGAGAAAAGCATGTAAGTGGTCCTTCAGTGTGTGATGTTAACTAACCACAGAGCTCCACCCCCACCCCCACCTTACTAACCCCTCCCCTAACATGGTAGAGGCCTGCTACTAACTGGGATCACTCAGGTTTGGGCTCTGTGCTGCTGTCTTTGATTTAGAAGTTCCCCTTTTTTGGTGGAGGACAAAGAGGAGGGTGTATGGGTTTCCATGGCAACCACCATTGAGATGTGTGTGGAAGAGATTATTTGAGTGATTTGTGAGGCGCGGAGCCGCTGTGTCGTCTCCACGCCCCGTGCAGCGGCGGCAGCTCCAGCGGTCTGATAGGAAGCCGAGGTGATTCCTCTGAGCCCCAGCGGCTGCTGTTACTGACAGTCCCACGTGGACGAATTCTCAAGCAAGAAAAAGGGAAAGAAAAGAGGCAGAGAGAGGGGCAGGAGGTTTTCAGACCAGTGTTTGGCAGCATCCAGTTTACATAAGTGCCACAGGAGGAAAAGCAGCTGATTGGAAATGTTGTCATAGGGGGTCATTGTTGGAGCCAGGGATGGACTGCCACTGGGCACAGGCCCGGGGGCCCAAGGGTTTAGGGGCCCCCTGGACTAGAGCCTCTGTCTGAAGTGTGACGCTTCTATTTAGTTGAAAAGTCCATCAAATTACTTGAGGAAGGGGTGGGGGCCTTTTACACATGTGTGCCCAGTAGCCCATTGTCTCATAATGAAATTTAAACATTTTCCTGCCAAAACATGTTTCATTTAGCCTCATTTAGACCAGCTGGGGATGAGAACCTTGTTACTTGGCAGCTGTTTTTGAAATCACTTAATCATTTATTTTCCAAGCCGAAATCGCCACTGGCAGTGCTTCGAGGGCGGAGGTGAACCTTCTTCCTTCGAATTCATTGAAGGCGTTGCTTCACCCTAATTACCGATAATTAGATAAATAAATAAAATAAGTTTCTCTTAAAATTTAAGATTCATCTTCAAATTTCCTCAGTACAGTGTCACTTGTACTACAGCTTTTTTTAAAAAGTAGAAAATCGAGCAGCACCATCTCCTCAGAATCAGCTCCACCCCCACACGTCTCTGCCGTCTGCTGAAGAAACGTCCCTGAAACCTGTCAGCATCTGTGGAAACCACCCTCGCAGAGCGCAGTTTAACCCCTGCCTGTATCAGCTTTGTTACCGACTGTTGACACAGCCACACAAACTGCGACCCCATGTTTCAGGCTGGCTGTGCTTTTCTCTCCTTCACTGTCAGTGTGGAGATGATGTTTAAGCACATGAGCGGGTCACACGTGCCTTGTTTCTGTCAGACCCGAGCGCACCTCAGTCGCTGTGCGGCGGCGGGCCGACACATACGACAAGCAGCAATCAGTGACCTGACGGCGTCTGGCGGGGAGTTCGGTTCAAGAGCCTCTCGGAAGAATCTTTCTCATCGCTGCTGCACTTTTTACACAAAAGGGCTGATTTGTTTAATGCTGAGGTTTGGGAGATTGTCTTCATTTCTAAGAGCTGCTGGTTCAGC